CAATGTCATCATAACAAGGTCATTTGATTTTAGAATCCTAATTGCCACTGATGTTGCTAACATAGGTTGATTAAACGATAATATTTGCAGATTAATACTTTATAAGCCTAAATTAAAGTATATTTTATACGATAATTTATATAAAGTTTTTGTTACTTGTTATTCTAATAAAATACCGGCCCGCCCCCGCTTTGTTAACTTCAACGACATCTCTTGGATTGCTCCTGTTTGATGTACAGTATGTATATTTTATAATGGCACACGTCCATCGAATGCGAATATTCCTTTTTAAAGATTGGGCCATAAAAATTAAGTGTATGTACACTACGATTTTATTAACAATGACGATAACATAACGTTATGTATTTACTTATACTTACATATACTTATTTTATAGAATTGATGCAATTTTTTTAATACAAATTAAATTAATTAAACAAAACAAATCTACTGTTATATCTACACAGAAAAACAGATTTTGTTCTTGTTCGATACATCGAAAGTAGGTTAATTGAATAATAATATTTAAATTTGTCCACTTACGCAAGCATCTTTTGTAAACATAAATCGTATAATAAAAATAACATTAACATTAAACAAATAGATCAGTTTTAAAATAACTCACTTGCGATAGCGCGGCGTGAACGTTTAGTGTTGCATTTCCAAAACTTCATAGCGCCCAACTTTTTAACCGAGGTCAGCAAGTGGAGAGATGACACCACGCGCGCCCACTAAGGCAAGTAGCCATCGTCAAACTGCTCGATTGAGGACGAAACAATGACTTTTGTTTACAAATGGTTGACGCGGAGAATTTAATGAATTACTTGAGCGAAGTGGCCCAAGCAATGAGCCGGACGACATGAGAGCGACGCACGTACACCCCCGACAGACAGTCTCCGGTTGTATGTACGCGCCGTATTAAAGGAAAGCGTGGGTGCTATCCAGATCAGACTTTAACCAACCTGGGACCCACTTGCATTCCATTTGAAGTAAACATGGTTCCTATTATTGCTTATTTACGAACAAGGGTCCATTGAAATGATTAAATAATAAAAGAAAATTGGTAGCGTAAAAAAGTTTATTTTCTATCACATCATGTCTTACTACTTTTAAAATTTGGGAACCAATGTCAAACTTTGCTAAGAGTTGCTAAGAGCAACCACTACGATTCGAAGCAAGTTTTGAAAAAAGTCCAGTTTCATAGAGATCATAAAAACATGTCTGAATAATATGTATATTAAAAACGTTCTTTCTAAAATATTATACATAAATAAAAATCGGTCAAGCGCGACTCAAATGGTTCCATCGTACATGTACTTTTCATTAATATTACTTTTAGTCTATGTATGTAGTACATTATCAACTTTTATGATCGATTACGAAAGTTAAAAAATGTTTCTTGTATTTTTATAATTTGTTGTTGTGGCAATAGAAATACATACTCTGTGAAAATTTCAATTCTCTTCCTATTACGATGACATACTTAATTGGCCCTCTTGACAGACGGACAGACAGCAGAGGCTTAGTAATAGGGTTCCGTTGGCACTCTTTGGTACGGAACTCTAAAAAAGACATCGATACCATATATCAATCAAATAGAACCACCGAAACGAACCAAGAATGGAAGGTAATTATCTCTTTACTTATATATGTACCTTTGTTTTGGCATTTTATATATTGACTTAAGTCATATCTCTAAATATTACTCATTCACTAATTACATTATTTTAGTAAACTTTATATGTATATCTTAAGTTAGCAACTCCATAAATCATATTTACTGAATGACGCATACAGTTGATCTAACATTAGAATTCATATCTCAAGAACGGTTATCTGTTCTTAGCAGAATCCGCGACTTCGCTCGCGCTAAAACTACAAACAAATCTCTAAAAAGGTAGGTACACAGGTTTCATACAAACTTTCACCCCCTATTTTACCCCCGTTATAGGATGAATTTCGAAATATGCTAAAACACGTATTTAATTAGGTAATTATATTGAAGAGTATTAATACCAAGTTTCAAGTAATTCTGATCAGAAATATTTTTTTGGATTGTATTATAACGTGTTTTCCTGTGGGAATGAGATGATCTCCCGCAATAAAAAGTAGCCTATTTCACTCTCCAGCTATCTTCACACCAAAAATTACGCCTATCCGTCACTCCATTTAGATGTGAAAGAAAGACAAACAAACAAACATACTTTCACATTTATAATATTAAAGTATGGATTGTATGAAATCAAATACTATTAATATAAATGCATGTTTGTATGTACATATATGTATGCATATGTGCCTACTTTTTCACGCTAGCTGGATTTTGATGAAATTTAGTATACACATCAGAAACAGACTTCAACCTGGAGTAATAAATACATAGACTTTTTTCATCTAGATTTTTATATACGAGCGAAGTCAGGGTAAGTCGCTACTACTGTATAGACCTAATTTATAAAGAACTTTATGCTCTACAACTATCGACTTTAAATTTTATTTATTAATTTATTTTGAACAGTGAAAACAACGTATTTAAAAAACCGATTTTCGCTACCCTCGACTCGCGATAGCTAGTGACGCGGACACGAGATTATATGAGACTTTTGAGCCAATATATTAAATTCCAAAACAAAAATATTTACGAGTATAGAGCTTATTGACTTTCATTACAAAGTTTACTTCTTTTTACCTTACTAAACTATTAAAAATTATTAAAATTTTTAGTGCTTCCCAAAAAAGCTGCACTATTTCAGTCCATACATGCCAAGTAATATTTTAAAATAATGAAGCAAACATTTACTCAAATATTATAATTTTTAGAGAAAATGTTCATCATATTATAATATAATATGAATTTTATAATTCATTGACCAAACACCTTCATTTAACTTGCTTCGAACTTCACAAACTGGCCAGGGAACCCAATAAACATTTGCTTTGTAAAAACACAGTCGTTGCAACCACTACATCAATTCTTAATCAAATTTGCTTGTACAAAACACTTTTTATATACACTAACCTCAATATATTCTAAAAAACATGTACATTTGTAAAAAAAAATCAATTTTAATAGTTTGTCAAACATTTATTGGCCCCCGGCTTATTGCACTGTGAAATACACGGTAAGCATATATACTAGGCACAATTCTGTTCTAATATAATTATATTTATTACGGATACACACTTATGATTCTAAAAAAATATATTTACCTTAACTTAAAATACAATGAGATTTTTATACATTCCCAATTATTTCTTTTTATTATGAATACGATATGAAAATAATTCCATTAAAATGCCCAAATTGTTTTGTCACAAGACGCCTTAGTGAGTTCTATTTATATACGAGAAAAGACCTAATAGTATATCCTATGGGTGGGAATAAACATAATATTATAGTGTAGTGATTCTAGCTTAATTGAACTCATCAGTGCGTAATGGGTCTAGTAATCTAGACTTTGCACACCAAATTAGGCACTAAGTAAAATGCCTAGCAGACTAAATTAGGACTCACGAGGCTAAACTATTAAGAGCGTAATTATTTTGTATATAGCTTAAATACAATTGATTTATAAAATAATAGAATTGTAATGTTTGCAATTTTACAAAATAATTATTATTGCATTATGATCCTTAATCTCCATTAATTTAAAATTATTCGAAATGATGTTCCAATTCAAATATTCATTCATTTATTTATCAAATTGAAATGTAAAGACCTTGGATGTTGTGGTGACAATCAGCCATTTTCTTAAATTTCTTTGGAAAACTATTATCCTTATTTATAAAAATAATATTAAAATAATAAGTTTTTTCCTATTCTTTAAATATTTGAACATGGACTGTAAATAATATTTGTTATTCAAAGAAATAAGGTAATTAAACAATACATTTTAATGATAGATGGTCAATCACTTATCTTTTTTTCCATAAAAATCATAAATTATTAACAAATACTTCATTTTTATGTAAACTGAAGTTACAATTTATATTTAAAAGTGTGCTGCAAATTATATAAAATGTATATCTATTGAACAGTGTTGGTAGTTAAAATAAATACACATAATACAAAGATTAGCACTGAATATTATTTAAAAATATTGCAGCCAGTAGTATTTTAATTCATTTCATTTCAATCTAATTGTAAAATTTAGGATTTCACACCATATCTAAGTCTAAAAATCTAAAATAAGTTCAAACTGCATAGGAAACTATTTATTCACTAAACTCCCATTCATATGAGTAGCTTCTATGACACATTTCTTTTGATATGTATTAAAATACAAAATATAGTCATGATTGTATAGAATGCATCGTGAACATCGAAAATCTTGTAAATACTCACTAAACCTCTACTGGAAACTATCAAACATCCATTAATTCAACAGATTACAAGTCCACATCGAAATACGAAGGCACTGCTTTTTATTAACGTAAAATTATGTAATTTTGTGATGAGCAATTGTTTAAAAAACTAAAATGTACATGCGTTCAATACACATGTCAATATATTGATAAATACTAGATTTCTACAACGCAATCCAAGAGCACACAATTTCATGTATAATAAAGATGAGTAGGCAGAATTCCTTGGGAGTCCAAAACTGGAACAAATCACAAATCTGATTGTTATTACAAATATACATATTAAAAAATATATCTGGCATTAAAATAAAATTACATAAATTTTAACTGCCCATTCTTCTAAATTATCATAAAAATAAACTACATAGCTAATGCTAATTGTGTAAACATGATAACTATACCTATCATGTTATTAAATCAGTTTTAAACCAATACTGAAAAGGTGTTACCTAAGTATCTTTGCTAGCTTATTGCCATAGTTACAAGTGGCTTTTTATAATTAACATAGTCAATGGGAATGTGCATATACAGTTCATTCATAACAAGGTCTTGTGTTATGTAAACAAGTTTATGCCCACTCTCTTTTCTTCAAGTTTAGAAGAGAACCTGGCCGAGGCAACGGAACTTTCTTGTCAATGTCTGTACCAAGCACCTTGTACTCTTGTCTGGAAATGTGATACTGGTGTCACAATGTATGCTTGTTGGGGTTGTTGTACCACCGCCAGAGGGATAACTTGTTGAGCCATTTCCACTGGTTGCCCACTATCCTCTGATACACCGAGAGGCTGTACACAGTGTTGCTGAGTGACTTGCTGAACACCTTGTTGAGTCAGGACTTGCTGGTGCTGACTCACTTGAGGCACCAGCATCTGTTGTTGCATTTGTTGCTGTTGTTGTGACTGTTGCTGGTGTATGACCACATGAGGGCCTTGGTTCTGCATCTGCTGGTGCTGCTGTACTTGTACTTGTTGGACTTGTTGCTGCTGCTGCTGTTGTTGTTGTTGCTGTTGGACTTGCTGCTGTTGTTGAGCCTGTTGCTGTGCTTGCTGCTCTCTTTCATGTTCCTCCTTCTTCTTTGCTTCCATAGCTGCCTTCTTTGCCTCTGCCTTTTCTTTTTCTTGCTGTATCCTAATTGGATCTTTATTTTTGTCATATGACATACATTTGCCACTACGAAACGGTACCATCTCCTTTGGTATTTCCTGCTTTTTAGTTGCAAATTTAACATGTGGAAATTGGTCTTTCATAAATGCTCTAAATGTTGAATAACCCATTAGCTTCACTCCAGGTTCTAAAATTTCCCCATATTCTTTGTATGCTTCAAACAAATGCTTTCTAGAATCACCTTGTATAATAACAGTTTTGCTAGCCTTTTTGCCACTCTCACCTGACGGTTGTACATCTTTAGGCGAGCTTGCATGTTGTTTTAAATATTCTTTCAAAAAATTTGTAGCATGTTTATATATATCAAGTGTGAATGTGTTATATGGTTTCTTACCGACATTACCATGTATCCGAGGAGCCACACCATGTGTCATTACATGCTGCCGGATTCGCTTGAGCTGATAATGAGTGACATTTTCAAGATATAGGAAAGCTTCTAAACAAACCTTTCTACCCTGATATACATAACAGGCTCTCAATCTCCTTCTAACTTTATGCCGTGAAGTTTCAGCTGGATTTGCCAAGCTCGCCATTGTAATTCCCATCAAATACATATCATGTTCGCTTTTAGTCAGTTCAGCTATATTTAACCGATGACGGTATACAGCTTCAGGATTGAGCCCCCGATAGCAATTGTCTTTACAGTCACATCCCCTTTTTAGTCTCTCTTTAACCTGAAATTAAATATAAAATAAAAATTAGTATCTTGCTGTCGTGGTTGCTTGTATCTGTATAAAAAAGGCAGTGATAGCCCAGTGGTAACACGCTTGTTTGGGAAACTGAGTGAAGCGGGTCCAAATCCAGGGTCTCGCACCACTGATATTTTCATGTGTGAATCATTTCCAACATGATTACCACTTGTTTTACAATGAAAGGAAACATCGTCAGGAATACGGCATGTCTGAGAGAATCTTAAGTTAGTAAGTTTAAAGACTTGTGCAGTCTGGCAATCCACACTTGACTGGGGTGGTGGACTATGGCATGTTCTCCCTTGTATTGAGGGAGGCCTGAGGCACATCAATAGGATGATAAAAAGAGCTGAATACAATCATGCTTTTAATAATTCAATAAATTATTTTGTTTATTAATCATTTCGGTTGTTGGTTGGGAAATTACAAAATATATATTTGTTACCTATTTAATAATAACTTAATATTTGGAAACAAGAGATAATCTTGGTATCTTTCAAAGATTGTTATAGTTAGAGGTAATATAAAAATAGGCTATCTATCTTTTGTAAAAAATTGGACATAACGACATAGCACAATATAACCAAGATTTTATAGTGATATTATGTTGTTTTATGGTTTTATTACCTGTGTAGGGTTGTCTTCCAATTTATTATCAAAGACATCTTCATCACTATCAGATTCTGCTAGTTTTTTCTTTTTCTTTGTACCAGTTTTCTTTTCCACTTTAGGTTTTGTATCAACATCCATTTCATTGCCTTCCACATTGGTCTCAAATTCAATACTATATGTTCCCGGCATACCTTGTAAGTTCCCATCTCCATTTTCAACCTGAATTGTATGGCCTTGCCAGAGAACCTGTAATATTTTTTATTTATTTTTATTAAACTTACTTTATACATTGTTTAGATATATTAACAATTTATGTGAGATTAAGCAAAGTAATGGTATTTGATTATGAATTTAAATACAGTTTACAGTAATTATTTACCTGTTCTTGATGACCATTATAATTATGTTGTTGCATATTTTGGGCACCACCAAGTTCAAATACAGAGTGCTGGCCCATCACAGGGGTGTGCCACTGTGCACTCTCGCCATACTCGCCGCCGCCGTTTTGATCCGCTGGTATAGACACAATTATAGTGTCTTTGCTGTCAACACTCCGACGTTCCACAGATAAAAGTGAGTGCAGGACTTCACTCGCCTCCTTTTCAGCAGGATTAACCACTTCCATTTTCTCAAAAGACATTATTCTTCCTCGATGTTACACTACAAGCGAACATTCACGTCAAATCACATGTACCTACTTACATACGTGTATGTACAATGGACATTGAGCGACACGGCAAGCCCGCCCCGTTCATTTCAAGAACCTCCAACCCCACGATTCTCTCAAGAAAACCGCGATAACTTTTCAAATTCATGTAAATAAACATAACAAAAACCGTGCAATTATTAACCTTAATCGCGTTTTTTAAGTTTCATTATCGCATAGCGGATCGAACTCCCGTGGAATATTGGGCCATATAGTCATAGCAGAGAAAGAATCAAACTCACCTTTTTCACGTTATATGCACGAGTGAGACACTCTTTAGTGTATTCTCCAAGATATTCTTTGTGCGTGGATTGTTTTACTTCACTTCATTTTGATATTATAGTCATAATTTAAGAGAAATGCACAAATATTTCACCGAATTCACGGAAGCAATATGGCGATACACTTTCCGTGAATAAAATCTGAGGACGCCGTAGAACATGTCGCTAATACAGTGCGCGACCGCTGCGCGGCGCTGACATCACCGTTTCCGTATCGACGGCCGACGCTCTTTGCTACTTCACGCCGCGCCAATTTTAAAATTACATTTCTCACTTGCGAGATTATTTTAATAAAATTTATTATATTTCTTTAAGATACGAAATTAAAAATGTCTTTTTAAACAACTATTTTATTAAAAAATATAATAATTGATTATCGCACTTAACTATTAAAAAAAAATTATAGGTATTCAAATTATTTTCATAGGAAAAGTTATTTTAACACCATTTCTAAAAAATAAGACATTTTTAACTGTTACGCCGGCGTGTCCGCGGTCGTGAGTCGTTTTTTATCCAAATCTTAACGCATATCGTATTACAGATTTAATTTTCTTTTAAACAACAGCTTGATTGACCCTTTTAGCTGTAGAACTGTATGCCGTTGGCAGGTGCATACCTACCTAATAAGGATTCAAGCGTTTTTAACAAAATAGTGTTGGATGCAGGTGCGTATCATATTATGTACGAGTATGTTCTTCATATATCATTTAAATTATGAAGTTATTGGTAATAACTTTTAATCCACTTTTTGTAAAGAATATTGTTATGAAATATAATATTTAAATAGGTAGGTACTTTAAATATTAAAAATATTTATTTAATTTATATCTGAAAGTATTTTTTTATTTTATTTAATACGTTATTTTCACTGTAAGGTAAACAGTGATGATATAAAGCTGTGGTCTATTCTCCATTTTCCATATATTAAAATATCGCACTGTATAAAATACGCGCGTTCGTACTTAAAATATTTAAAGTAAAAGAGTCTGTTTCATCAAGTTCTTGATACATTTTTTAATACTCTGAAGGGTCCGCAATGGCGTGGAACAAAATGAAACATTCAACTCTCATCCGTTCGTTTGGCACCGATATTTTTCATATGCATAACATGGCGTGTAATAACCGCAGGGGGATATTCGACACGTTTCCTGATAGGTTGTGTCTGGATTCATTATTCCATAGAATATTTACTAATATCTATTAAACAATTGATATGTAAAAAACATTAATAATGAATGTTAATTACTTATTTTTCTAATTTCTTTTATGGTCTTTTAAGTTTTATTATATAATGTCTATGTTCCTACGCCACCCGCGCCAGGTTTGTTTTGGATGGCCACGTTTGGGTATTAACCTTTATAATAGGGTTCCCAAATAAAAATGGTTAATAATGATGTACTCTTTTATAGAGAGGACATACGAATGAACAAATAAAAAGTTTAATATTTTTAAAGACAGGTATAATAAGAAAATATCAACGTTAGAAGTCCTTTTAGGGAATAAGTAGAAGTTAATGTCACTGACAAGACAATCTCAACTTAAACTTTATAAAAACAAAACTCCAATAAATTAGCTTACAAACGATTGGACCCTATACAAGGTTATATCTATTGATTTTCGTTTAAAAACGACAACCTTTTATTTATTACAAAGAGAAGTTAAACTTAACATTATATTGAAATTGAATTTACATATAAATGATAAAATATAAAAAGGATAAAAATACACTTTATCAAACCTTACGAGTACCTAACTTGTTTTTAAAAAAAAATATAGGTACCTACATCGTAATATTACAGGATGCTCAGACTGACAGATAGGTTATCGAATCGATGAACACTTCTTAAGTTAAAATAATTGAATATGAATCAATTTTCGAATAAGAAATGGTAAAAAGGTTTATAATTATTCATCTTTATTCTATTCGTCACGATACAGTAGTTGGTTTCTATTCTTTACAAAATATATAGATTACTGCTATCGTTTACCGGTCTCAACGAATTTTGTTAATTAGTGTTTTGTTGTCAAATTAACCTTTTCGTAGTCACGATTTTTATTGTTATTAATTACGTTTTAAAAAAATGAAATAAAATAAATATTTTTATTAAATAATAATAATCATTGTTGTAGACATTATTATTTTTATTAATAGTATTTATTAAAAATATCAAAGTTCAAAAAAAAGGATAGAGCGACAAAGTTTTAGCCTGGATTATTTAAAAAAAAATTAACTGTAAATATTCTTATGTACGTACATAAGTACAAGGAATGTCCCCAAGTATGAAGATGTCGTGTCGATACTCGATGCGTTTTCTGCTGTCTAATTTTTTAAAGTTATAGTTGTTGCTCTATGAATGAAAATGTACATTAAAATACATATATGAAAGAGCAATAACAATAAGCTTGTGCATATATTTTTTTTTTCACAGTGATGCATTGGGGTGACGCTTTCTTCATTATTCTCCAAAGGATAAAAGAAATAGGGAAAAGTTAACTTTTTTATAAGGGTAGGATTTTTAAAACTATGTTTTGTCTTGTATATTGTATGTAGTAATTTTAGTCATTTATAAGTGATTAAATCGTCTCTAATAACATTTTTACTGTTAAAAGTTTAATTTTGTATACAGTGAGGCATTTCGGAAGTGTTATGATTTACAAAGCGTAACCAAAATTGATTATCGGACTACTATTGGAAATGCGAAAGTTTGTAAGTGTCATGTGTATGTATGTTTCTTACTCGTTTACGCGAAAACGGCTAAACGGATTTGGATGAAATTAGCACACAGATAGACTATAACCAGGAATAACAACATAGACTACTATTGCCATAACAAGTCATAGCTGAAAAGTGATAGCTTAAGCTAGCTAGGTATATAAACGAGAAAATTTCGTTATCGTAATTTTAATTTTCACTATAAAGTATAAAACAATAACAATTTAACGTCTTATATGAAAAAGATAAATTAGGTCAGATTCAGGTCCGTTTTCTGACTTGAAGCGAGTTAAAAAAAATTGCGAAATACCTATGTAGGTATATACGAAACAGGGGATTTAATTAAACGATGCGTTGTGGGAATGTAATAGCGTGAACTCAATTAGCTGGGATAACTTTTTAAAATAAAAAGGAAATATATTTTACTTCAGTCTTCAATAGAAACCAAAGTTAATCAGTTTTGTTTTCGTGTTAAACACATAATATAATTAATGTCGGGTTAAAAATAGCTGGTACCTATGAATATGATGTAACATTAAATCGCAATTATTCATCTTAATAATAAAATAAAAAAAAGTAAGCACTTGAAGATATTCTATACTTAAGTACAATATACATATGAGAAAAAATTAAATCTATACATATAATACAATTCTAACTAAGCCGAATCTGTACCTTAAATATTTTTTGGAAAATCTTATTGAAATAGACATTATTATCGATACAGAGGACGAATCTATAGCTTTTAGAATTTTTGTCTGTCTGTACGTTACCGCATCACAGAAAAACCACTGGAAGGATTTTGATAAAATTTATTATGGTGATAGCTGGTTATCCGGGTCAAGATATAGGATACTTTTTACTATGGGAAAATGTCTCATCTCTGAGAAATTTATACTAACCGATAAAACGTAAGTAGGGACGAACCCGAGCGGAGCGAGGGTGAGTCGCTAGTATATCATAAAAATAAAAAAAACCCGAATGCATAAAAAGTAAAAACTAACTAAAAACATGAAAACAAGTTCACGAGGATTATACCTAGTATTACGCAGTCAAAGACACGTTTCATCCTTGCCGCGATATGTACACAATATACTCGTATGTATGTCTCCGACTGCATAATACTATATTCCTTCGTAAGTTCACGTTTTCATCTTTTTAGTAAGCTTTTATTCAGTCGTTTTTTTATAATGAAAGAAACCTAAAAATGAATTTTAAATACCTATTCGTATTCAACGATATCCCACTTGATATAGTTCGTCGATTTTCATTTTTTTCTTTTTCACAATATGGCTTCCAAAATCGGCCATTTTGATTTTTCCAAATTTTTATGTTTTCTATAGCATTCGCGCTGTCATGACGAACCCAACGACCGGACGTGTGATTTATCAAAATCGGCCCACGCGTTTGGTCTAAATAGTGCCTTATAGGTACAAACCCACATACGTACATACATACATATACATAGTCTGGCCATAAATACTGTTACAACTAAAAATAAACAAAATATTATTACATTTGAATTTGGAATCTGTCATTTTTATATGATTATTCATAGTGTTTTCTCATTTTCGCGCCAATACATTGTAAAATATTTTGTGATATGAAATGGAGTGGGATGATAAAGAGAACCAAATCGCTGTGATTGCATTACACAAAGTAGGTATGGAGCCAAATACAATTTTTAAAACTCCGCATACGCTTGGTAGGTAGGTATTAGTCAAATGTTTGTGTACAGGGCTATTGATAGGTACAATGAAACCTCCTCTGTTTGTGACAAAAAAGATCTGGCCGTCCAGGTAGTGTTCGTACGAAAAATTTTATCTCGGGAGATGAAGATAGCACCTAGAATCATGTCGCGTATTTTAAAAGATGACTTAGGACTTGCAGCCCATAAGATGCACTGGTCATTTCTTAACTGATAATTAAAAAATAATAGGATGGCAAAATCAAAACAACTCATAATATGCGGTACGTAAAGGGAGTTCATAGAAAAAAAATGTTTACGGATGAGAATTTTTTTACAATTGAGCAATATATTAACAAACAAAATGACCGTAATTATGCTCAAAGCTCTAAGGAAGCTTCCCAATCAGTCAACAGAGTACCTACAACGTGGGTATTATCCGACTTCAGTGATGGTTTGGTGGGGTGTTAGCTATGAAGGAGTGGATGAGCCACATTTTTGAAAAAGGTATCAAAACATCGGCACAAGTGTATTAAGGTACCATTCTTGAGAAGGTAGTCAAGCCCCTTAACAACACCATGTTAAAATAACCAAGAATGCTCCTTTCAGCAAGACTCAGTGCCGGCACTTAAAGATCGATCCACGTAATCTTGGTTAGAAACCCACGTTCCGGACTTCATCAGAACTGAAGACTGGCCGTCATCTAGTCCCGATATTAATCAGCTGGATTATGATTTATGGTCAGTTTTAGAGAGTATGGCTTGCTCTAAATGCCATGATAATTTGAAGTCCCTAAAACAATCCATACGATTGGCAGTGAAGAATTTTCCCATGGAAAGAGTGCGTGCTTCTAGTGATAACTGGCCTCAACGTTTAAAGGACTGTATTGTAACTAATAGAGACCACTTCGAAAAAGCTTTATAAATTTTTAATGGTTTTATATTAATGTATAAAACTAACACACTGTAATAGTAATAAATGCTTACGTGCAATAGAAAAAATATATTTTTCTTTGTAACAATATTTAGGGCAAGACTATATACATACATACATACATAGGCTGATAAACACATTACCCTCCTTTGCATTGCGCAGTCGGGTAAAAATAAAATAATATAGAAATAAAATACCTAGGTACTTACTGAGGTAAAATGTGTCTTTTATCATAATTTATAATCATGTTTTTGTTACACATATTATAAAATAAATAAATTAAATCAATATTCATCACAACGTGTTATAAATTTCGTCGATATTACATTGTCTAATGTACAAATATTTATATTATCGCCTTATTGTAAGCACATTAGGTAATGATTTATATTTTACTCTATGCTAGTAAGATAAAACGTAACGTTATTATCAAATTACTCGAAATGTTGAGAAAATTATGTACTTACCTACAGATGGAGAATCTAACGTGAAGCAGCTGCTACGGGACTTGACCATGGATCCAGGAGATGAACCATCAGGCCACTCCATCCTCTCTTCCATAGCCTTTGAAGCACTTCTCTTGAATTGTTCCAAGAAGCTGTCTATTTGCGTCTCAATGCTTGTCGGGGAGTTGGCCATCGTTACCACCGAAACACCGAAAACAAACACAACACTGTCTTTGGACTACGACATCTTACAAGTAAACCTTATATTCTCCGCTCGCAAATTTTAACATGCTCTATAGAGCATTGTAAAATAAAGGTAAATTTATAAATATTCATTTTCACTGCGCAGAATTCGTTCATCAACCCGAATCAATGTAAAAATTCTCAAACGAATTCTCCACAAGCATGAAAGAAACTATCCGGCAGCGAAACGATTTTACTACGGATACCGTTATGCTATAAGTATACAGCATCGAAAATAAAGAGACACCCACCGACATCTATCGATCGCCACGAACAGCTGTTATTATGATGCTGCCATATTTGAAAATATTTCAAATCTATGATATTCAAAAGTAATAATTTTAATATTTAGAAGATATTTGTTATAATAATGTAAGTAATACATATTTTATTTTTTTAATTTCGTTTTTTTTTTTAAATAATAATAGACACGGCGCTTTTATATATGTGTGCGTAGTACTAGCAAGTGTTGCGCGATGTGTGCGTGACGCCGGCACTGCGAGGGGGTCGCGGTCGTTCGGTCGCGCACGTTGTATGCATTTGTTAGTGCTGCGCGAAGAGCGCGTGTAGTTCGTGATATCTTTGAGGTGACTAAAGCTGTCACACACGAGACTACACCCGGCCTCAAAATGTCAAGTGAGTCTTGATTATTTTTTTATTTAACTAATTTATATTTTTAGTAATGAAAATTTAATAAATAATTAGTAAGAGTTATCTATAATTGATGATAAATGTCAAGTAAATAGTAATAAATAATGTAGCTTACTCGTAGTAAAGAAGGGTAGTTTAATATTTTAAAATTATTATTAAAACTTTCTTACAATGTGCATTTTTTTTAATTGTTATATAAATCAAATAAGATTTAAATAAATGATTAGTTTCAAGAAAAATTTGCCTTTTAAAATCATTTAAAAGAAAATTTTATTTTATATGTACCTGCATTTATTTATAGAACTAATTAAATGTAATATATCATATAGATAATACTTTATTCTAGTCCCATCGTTTAAAATTAATCAATTCACAAAATGATAGCTATTTCGTTTACATAAACACGCCATTAATTTAGATAAAGTGGGTTCAAAATATTTTTATTATACGATCATTATGAAGGCCTAATAGATATAACTACAGCCAAAAATGTTGCAATATTTTAAGTAGCTAATAAAATCAAACTAATAGAAAAATAAATTGTTATAGATACTTTGTATCTTAACAGTTTGCAAAACAATGCGAATTTTTAATCGAATTAATGAAAATAATTGATTGCTAAACTCAATTTCTTCACAATTTCATAATCTTAGGTACGATATTTTGTAGTTATTGCTAAAATAAGTTCAATGCATGAATAGATAATAGGACTCCACTCCCGCATCCTTGAGATTTATTAAGATGATGTGCAATTGGTATACGAATTAGCTTCTAGATAGGAATGGTCTATCGATAATATAATATTTTTTAATGTTGGGACATTAATACACAACACCATCTAGTTTCATGGATAGTTGATATACTACACGTATATAACTTTAAATACATACATATTATAAACACCCGCGACTGGAGTATAAACATTCGTGCTCATCACACAAGTGAATGTCCTCCAGCGGGACTCGAACCCGCGACCGCTGGTACAGCAAGTAAGGGTCACTACAAACTGAGCAAAACGTATCGTCAAACACATGCATAATATAAAAGAACCCACAATCACATGGAGTACACTTATGAATTGAATTGCTTTATGTACAAACTATGCGTACATAAATGCGAACAGTATTACACAATACACACGTTATCAGATAAAACTCTCTGATTGTAAACAAAGCGCTATCGTACAAAACGTCCATAAACAATATGCCAACCATGCGATATCAACGGCTAACTGCAACGATCTTGACCATGAGCTTCTATTAGTTAGTATACATCGGGCCAGATATCTTGAGTAGCAACAGCGAAAATACTCATTTAATATATTTTAACATGGACATGGAACATTTAATCGACAAGATAATTGGTTATTATTGACTGCTGTATTGTACTTATTAATTCAATTAATTTATTTATTAATTTATTATTAAAGGTAATTCAAAATCATATTAAAAAAGGGGGCTGTCAATTCATAGAAATAAAAGGTATAAATTCTGTGGTAAAGCGTAGAGCGCCTTATCGTTAAAAGTATCTACTACTTTAACGCTGATTTTTGTCATTTCTGGCTTAATATATTCTTGGAAAAAAATCAGTAAAAATATTTGAGTTTCTAGATGATGTTTTTTAATGCTTAACAGTTACTTTGAGATTACCTGTTACTCTCCATTTTTATAAGAAAGTTTGAACAATCTTTGAAAATATCAACGTTTATCGTATCAGTTATCTGTTTTAGTGTATAGTTTTCATAACAATTTCGAACCGTGTAACTAATCGCTTTACAAACAGTAACTTAATTAAAAATATGTGTGTTAATCCGTACTAAACGAACAGTTTATAATTATAGAAAAATAAAATTACGAGCTTACAATTAGTATAAGAATACAAGTGTCCTTCCTGTAAAGTAATTTGAAGCAAATAATATAACCTTTAAAATTAATTTACTTTAATTTAATTGCAATTAATGTGTTTTAAATTTAAAAATGTCCAATTATATCCAAATATTCGCGTAGATCTAAGAAAGTATTATGTCCTATTAAATAAGATTCTACAACTGATAACTGTCAAATCAAAATTGTATTTAGTCTAGCTGACAATTATAAAGTCTTTGTCTGCCGAGCCAGTGCTATCACCAGTGATTTGACTATCGGACAGAATGATTTTTAATATGATCGTTTTAATTTGATCTTTATAAAAGTGGCTTAAATATTGTTAAAAGACGGAGTAACGAATAAACATGTCACATTCTACTTGGCAGTTTGGTATAGAACATGCCGAAAAATTAGTTTAAATATAGGTATGTCAATGTAGTAAATCGACCGAGAACGCAAGACTGTTGTTAAGTAAAATTGTTCGAAGGTTCCACCATTGTAATGTATTTTTCCCACTAATTTTGGGAGAAATATTGTTAACTAGCGACTCACCCTCGCTTAGCTCGGGTTCGTCCCTAGCTTGCTTCCCCATACAAACTTTCATCCTTATTCTCACCCCCTTAAGGGATGATTTCCGGGATAAAACTATTTCACTCACTCACTATTCATATATTTAAAAAAAAATAGATATTTAAAAATAATCTTATTTTAGTGTAAAAAAAAATTTCTCTTAATTTTCTTCTATGCAAAACTTCCTGACAATAAAAAACACAAAAAAAAGAATTATCCAATTTGGTGAAGTCAATCCGAAGTTATCCGCGTGCACACATTTCGGTGATTTATTTTTATTTAATACTTTCTTAGATTTACGCGAATATTTGACATTTTAAATAAAACTATCTTTTCGGATTTTGTCGCGGATTTATTTGTATTTTTGTTTCCCGACGTTTCGAATGCTTTACAGCATCCATGGTCACGGGAGAGACTGAGGTGTTACATGTCTTAAAGATATAGTTGTTACAGACAGCCTACCCACAATTAACAAAATGAAAATTGCACCAATTACATTACAATATTTTAACTTTAAATATTTTTATAATTTTAATTATAATTGAATATGGAAAATTATTTATTTAATTTTTGCTATTATTTTTATAATTATTACAATTTTAAAAATATTAATTAGTAATCTATATTTAGTGTTGCCATTATTATATTTATAACCATAAGAAAAATATAAAATATAGTATTAATTATTTAAGCCACAATTGATCTATGTGTAATTTGAAAAAAGTTAAGATTAATTAAAAATAATAATTTTAATTTAAATTTGCTATTATTTAAAAAACAAATTATTAAGCAACACTACTTACTTACTACATACATTTACAAATGAAAAAGTGAAAAAATATTATTAATCAGAAATGCTATCATTTTGATCTACACAGTAAGAACTTACTACATCTACCTGTCTGTTATGTTTAGATTTATTATTAGATTTTATTATATTAATAACAGGATCCCATGACGATGGTAGTACCCAGCCATCTTCCCTATTGAAATTAGGATGTTTTTTAATTTCTATGGCTTCTCGAATCATTCTAGGGCGATATCGGTTTTCTTTCGCCAGGATTTGAGGTCTATCGAAGCGAATATAATGGCTTGGGCGGTCCTGACTGTGTTTGCAGACAGCAGATGTTGTATTGCGACGGTGCTTCACATCAGCTATGTGTTCTTTGACCCGGGTTCTAATGGATCTCTTTGTTTGTCCGATGTAAGAGAGCCCACAATCACAATCAAGCTTGTAAACTCCTGCATCTTGTAGAGGGATGTGGCACTTGACAGGTGGTAGAAACTGACTAATTTTCTTTGGCGGCTTGAAGTAAGTTTTAATTGAAGCTCGCTTTAGAATGTAGCCAATCTTGTCAGTGACGCCTCTCATGTAAGGTAGGACTGCAGGGACGCGCTCGACTGTGGCTGGTTTCACTCGGTCCCTGTGACGTAGGCGCGGCACTTGCAGCTTGTTGTCTCGCAGAACTTGCTTGACATGTTGCAGCTCTCCGGCCAGGTGTTGCTCGTCACAGATCCCGCGTGCCCTCTGAAACAAAGATTTTCCCACGGTAGCTAACTGTGAAGGGGGGTGGTGAGATTCACCATTCAAGTACCTATCAGTATGAGTCTTCTTTCGATACACAGTATGACTCAAGGTGTTATCTGGGTTACGTATGACTAATACATCTAAGAAAGCTAAAGAATTATTAGACTCCAATTCCATTGTAAATTGTATTTTAGGGTTTATGGAGTTAAGATGTTCTAAGAATACAGATATTTTATCAGATGGTAATATTGTGAAAGTGTCATCTACATACGCTTGTAGAAACGAGGGGTCACAGGTGATGTGTTTAGGGCGGTCTCCTCGAAGGCCTCCATGAAGATGTCAGCTACAACGGGAGAGACCGGCGAACCCATGGCCACTCCATCCACTTGCTTGTAGAATTCATCATTCCACAATAGATAGCCAGATGTAAGGCAGTGTTTCAAAAGTTCAGTGTATTCTTCTTGCATACTATTATCCCGTAGCTTTCTTGATACTATTTTGACACAGTCCTCTACTGGTAGGCTGGTGAATAGAGACTGTACATCATTACTGACCATAGTTTCATTGTCCATGAGTTGTAGGTGTTTAATCTCAATGATAAAATGGTATGAGTCCCTTGTAAATGCTGATGTTTGTCCTCTGAGTGTTGAGAGTACTTTCGCTACTAGTTAGGCCAATTTATAAGTCGGTGTGTCGATTTGACTCACAATTGGACGTAGCGGAGCGTTAGATTTGTGTATCTTTGGAAGTCCATACAGTTTAGGCGGCTTTGCACAAGATAGAACAAGATTTTTGACATCAAGATTCAATGCATCGGAGTGTTTCTTAATAAGCTTTTTAGTATTATTTAACACAGTGGTGGTTGGGTCTGTTTTGACCTTTTTATATGTACTTTCATCCGACAAAAGTTGTTTAATTTTCTCATTGTAATCTGATGTATCCATCACGACTTAAATAATTAATACTATATTTTATATTTTTCTTATGGTTATAAATATAATAATGGCAACACTAAATATAGATTACTAATTAATATTTTTAAAATTGTAATAATTATAAAAATAATAGCAAAAATTAAATAAATAATTTTCCATATTCAATTATAATTAAAATTATAAAAATATTTAAAGTTAAAATATTGTAATGTAATTGGTGCAATTTTCATTTTGTTAATTGTAGGTAGGCTGTCTGTAACAACTATATCTTTAAGACATGTAACACCTCAGTCTCTCCCGTGACCATGGATGCTGTAAAGCATTCGAAACGTCGGGAAACAAAAATACAAATAAATCCGCGACAAAATCCGAAAAGATCGTTTTATTTAAAATTATTTTTATTTATATAGATAGATTAAAATTATCATTATTCAAAGTGCAATTGTAGAGTTTCTCGCCAACTCTTCTTATCAAATTGCCTTTAGAATCGGTGATAGCTTTCGCACAGACTTACAATACTGATATTTAAAGAAAAATTAATTTAAAAAGTTACAAATGTGCAGAACAGTTAAATATATACACGTAATACGTTGAACGATTGTGTAAGGTATATCGATCTCTTATTCATTTAAACCCAATTAAAGTAAGAAGATAATAGTAGGTAACTAGGTACTTATTAGAATCCCTATATATCGTAATCCACATAAAGCTAGAAGCCATTCAATTAAGCATTTATAATATAAACTTCAATTTAATTAATCGTAAATACACATTTTCATTCCATAATTTGTATTTTCAGGCAATAAACAGACCAAACCATGATTTCACTACAACTAAACCTGTCCTACTTTCTCTGAAGAACATACAAACGGTTTACTATATTTCTTCTTTCTATGACAAATGTTGCATTACAAAATGCATTTTGGTTACATTCGCGTGTCAATACAAAAATGAAAAGCGTTCTTAGAAAGTTAGATTACCGATTATTATCTTTCTACATGAATGAAGTTAAGTGGCATGCTGTTTTTTAGATATTACCGTGCCGACCTATGTACGGTGAATGCGTCATTATTGCATTCCTTTATTTTGTGTAGCGGTTGAGTGCTTCCATGGTAGGTAGGGACCATCCCGCCAGACCGGCTGCACCTAAATAGAAACCACAGGGACATTGCTCCCGCTCCAGTCGTCTGATCCTACGCCCGCGCCACTCAAGTCTCTTGTGCCTTATTGGGGTTCTTTGACGCTACCGGCATACCAACGTACCATTTTGTTCTATTTTAATTTAGATAAAATTAATATGTGGAAGATTTTAATATGAATATAATAATTCTATTTTTAAATAATTATTATAATTTATGATAAAAATCTGAGATATGCCATCTAAAATTTCTCATATATTATAATATGTAATTTAATATATAAGAATTGAAATTGATCTTTTCATAAATATATTGATGAGATATTATTAATCGAGTTGAAAAGTTAACACTAAAGTCTCAAATATCTTGTTATTAATAAAATTATAATTTTAAGGATATACATAAATAACTATGTATTTAATAATATAAATAAAAATATTTTAAATGCTTAAAAGCTTTACTAATAAAACTTAAACATGGAAGACCTTATTATTTTATAATTTCATTTATAAATAGCAGTATTTTTTGTGTGTTATTTTTGCCAAATAGAATCAATTTTCTTGAATGTTTTTTTTATGTTCGTCAATTATTATAGAGACCTCATTTAAAATTTGGTAAAAAAATTAAGCGGTTTTGAAATAAGTGTGGGAAACCTAAATTTTATTAACAAAATTAACCATAAAATATTCGATTCTTGAGTCGACGTTGCAGGATAAAGATTTATTTAGACGAAAGGTAATACATACATACTCTATCTCTTGATCTAAGTAGATACAAATTAGCTTTGCTTTCGAAGTCGTGTATAATCGTATTTATTTCTTTGTGATATAATCTTATACATATAATAAAATAGTAACTAAGCCGAATCTGTGCATTAATTCTTTTTTTGAAAATCTTATTGAAATATACATTATTATCGATACAGAGGCCGTATCTATAATTTTTAGAATTTTTGTCTGTCTGTCTATCTAGCTGGTTATCTGGGTCAACACATACGATACTTTTTAACGCGGGAAAATGTCTCATTTCTGAGAAAAAATACAAAAACTGCAATGTAAGAGTATACTAATATGTAAAACCTAAGAATTTGGTTCTTGGTCATCTGAACGCGGGCGGAGCCGCGGGCAATGCTAGTTTTAAATAATTTTCTTTAATGTATACGATGACTGTTATGTCTATAGAGTATTGAGTGTTGACATAGTTGTTATTGAAATAGTCGTGGAAATTGTTTAAAGTAGCACGTCACCCAACGTAGATAGAAAAGACTGATTGTTGGTTTAATTGTGGAATGCATAGGCGTTGGGTCCCGGCACCAAATATCTGACGCTATCGAATAGTTTTATTTTCAATTTTATTTGTGTCGCGCTATTTTAGACTAGAACACGAGTAGAATGCGCGGCACTTGTCTATTACATGAAGCCGCTATGTGATGGCTAACGCGGAATGTATGTTCTGTCCACTGAGCTCTAACTAAATATGTTATGTAGAGTTCAGGAGTTATATTATTCATCGTTTTATACCAAAAATAGGTATTGGAAGGAGGTTATTACAAATTCATAATTCGGAATTCATCTATAATTTTGTATGTTTTCTTGAATCTTTTAATAAAACTATATGAATGAGATACGATTGATTGTCTTTTATAATAAGTTTAAAAGACATATTATGAAGAATAGTTTTTAATAACGTTTATTGTATTGATTTTGAACCAAAATTTAGGTTGGAGTAAAATGAATCTTATTTCGAATTTAAACAATTTTGAATAAGAACGTTAACTTTTGCTTTGTTTTATGTCGCTTTTAAGATTTAGACTAAACAAAAAAAATCGTTGCAATGGGAAAGAAGGTGAATTATTTCCAAAAAGTGAATGAAATCAAATGAATGACACCGTTTTGTTCGAGAGCTTCGTCATTTTTTTCATACTTACACAATATTTGCATATAATAAAATTGTTTTTAGATCCTAAATATATCGCTGGCAATAGTATCGTTTCTATAATTATACATTGTTGTCGAATGTTTAACTCATCAGTTTATTTTTAGCATTAACTAGGTTTTGTCTGTAGAATTCTATGTGTGAAATTCGAACAAGGATTTTTAAGAATTTCTAGGTTAATTTTATAATATGGATATATTAATCGCCGGCTTTTAAAGGCTTCTGCTCCAAGGGCAAAGTATAACTACCTACAGAATATAGATCACATAGTTAATGAATTTTCACGTGAAACGTGGAGTATTTTCTAATGTTAGATAGACTTTCCATAAAAATCTTTATCAGTCAAACATAACACTAATATATACCTATTTGAACATTGTATTAACATTGATAAACAATTTTGAAATGTTACATTCAAATAATATTATTATTAATTTGCCGAATAATTAGCGAATATTTCTTTAGTATCATTGTAAGATTAATAAGTGTTAAAGGCATAATTCTGAAAACCGTAAATTACTATTTGTAAATGAAACACACTCATTTGAGTAACAATCATTTATTTAGAAGATTAAAAGAAAAAGAAAATAATAAAATTCAACTCTTATAGGTAATCATGTTTTACTATGCGAAAATAAATCAAATCATTCGGCCGAATATTCGATTTGGTACATTTTGGACGGAATATTCGGCCGAATATTCGTATTCGGTTAAAGTTCAAACCTAGATTCGGTGCATCTCTATTGAAAACATAATCTATGCTGGACTGAAACTGCTAAGAATCCAATCATGTATAAATGTAGTAATCCGCCTTCGTTACCCGAGGCGCATCTTTATGAAACTTTTTGCAACAAAAAATATTTTCTTCGAATATTTTCTGGCATCTATTTATGAAAACATTATTTTGATCTGTTATTTCTTTACTGCGTTAAAGAGGGGCAAATCAAAGTATATACTTTCGCTTTTAAAATATTATTAGGACATAATAAAAACAGGATAGTTTAAAAAAACGACAAATGGCGAAGAAACAATCATTTTTTTATTGTACCTCCTATATTATAATAAACGTTTTAAGATACACTTTAGACGGCATGCAGGCCATTGTATTAGAAACTCTCACATGAATCAATTTCATACACATACTGAGATAGTAGGTAAATCTAAAAGGAACGCCAAGATAAATGTAATACACACGTGCCAATATATTTAGTATCATGTACCTAGCTAGCTCCTACGCGGCGTCATCAGATATACTGCGCACTTCCTGAAAGTTATGACAAATCCTAGACATCGACAAAGAATAATTATATGCGCCGTTCCCTAAGGAAATTTAGTTATTTGTGTAATTAATATGCAATCTTAGTTCTCTCTCGTTCGCCAAGAACATTTGAATCTATATATATAAAAGAAAGTCGTGTTAGTTACTTCGCTTATAACTCAAGAACGGCTGAACCGATTTAGCTGAAAATTGGCAGGGAGGTAGTTTAGAGCCAGGAGAAGGACATAGGATACTTTTTATCCCGTTCGACCGCGTTCCAATTTTTATGATATTTTAATTTTTGGATTTCTCTTAGTCCGGAATAGGTAAGTATTAAAACATATAATTAAAATGTGAGAAAGAAAGATTTTTTCTTTTTATATCTATTTAAAACGTACCTAGCGACGAACCCGAGCGAAGCGTGGGTGAGCCGCTAGTGTTATTATAATATTATATGCTGTAGGTATAATCTATCCAAAATAACAAAATCAGTACATTTATTATAATAAATTATCGCTTATAATGTTTAATTATTGTTCCCTAGTCCTTTTGACTTTGGTATTTATGGATTATTTTTTACAGATCGAGCATGGGTAACCCTGGCCACAAACGACTCGTACGGCCTCGGTGCGCTGGTACTGGCGCACTCACTGCGCCGTGCTAGCTCGGCTTACCCTGCTGTGGTGCTTATTACCCCTTCCGTTACAGAGGCTATGAGGTAAACTTAGGATTGGCTTTCAATTATTATTTTTTAATTAAAATATAAATAATTTTCATGGCTATAAAAAAATTAAAAATAAATAAAATAAAAACTGACTTCCAGGCACTGAAGAGTAAAAAATAACTAAACGGGGGTTTTCATTTAGTATAGATATCTAATCAGATATTTTCCAAGTTGGTGTGCTTTGATTTGTATTGGCTGGCACCGACTTCGAAAATTTCTGATTAGGTATCTATTCTAAATGAAAACCCCCGTTTAGTTATTTTTTACTTTTCAGTGCCTGGAAGTCGGTTTTTATTTAAGTATTTATTATTTTAATTTTTAGTATACACGTAATAAGCAGGTAATTTGTAAGGAAGATTTTAAAAGAAGTATTCGATTAAGCCATTTATTCAGACCTCTAATGACAGTCACAACCGATCTAGGTGTAAAGTTCTCATCAATACAAATTAATCAAGCCCAAACATCAGGTAATTGTTGTAAATCGTTGAGGAGATCCCTCGACTGTTTTTCGGCCCTATCATCAAATCGACTCCAGAGCATCGTTAAATAGTAGTGCTTTAAAATACTTAATGAAAAAAATTAACAAACGCACTAGTCGCTACTACGGTTTTCGAAGGTTCCACTCGATTTCTTTAGGATGCCATCATCAGATCCTGGTTTCCTTATCATGGTACTACCCTTGGGATAGCTCGTTTCCAACAAAAAAGATCATCAAAATCGGTCCATAAACGACGAAGTTATCCCTGAACACACATAAAGAAATATATACGGCCGAATTGAGAATCTCCTCCTTTTTGAAGAAGTCGGTTGAAAATAATCTTTAATGTTAAAGACAGTCGGAGATGCTATGCGTCTGATCGATACTCGGGTTTTCTCTCAAGTGTCACAAATGTAAATATCAATTATGACATGACCTATAGATAAAGTGATTACTACAATCGATGAGGCTAATAGAAAACTAAAAAAAATATATCAGAGTGACATATTCTGACTACAACGATTGAAATGGCATTCTATATTTTTTTATTTTTCTATTACCGATAGCGGGTGTAGAACCGTCATTATGTCCAATCCCCGTGGATTTAAATGTTTTGTTCTACACTCAAAGGTTCTAGGTTACAGAGGTCGATTCATGAATAGGCCGAAAACTAGAACACGTCAGTACAGTGTTACACTAAAACAAGATAAAATATAAATTAAATCAATATTAAGCAATACCAATGTTGCAGCCTCAGAAAGTAAAAAATATTACTTTTATAGTTTACTTTTTGTTGAGAAATTAGTAGTAGATGCTTTTAACTAATTATATTATAAGGAAAACTCTAACTTATAGTTAGCTCGGTAATAGGTTTCTACATTAATTTTAAAAATAAGCAATGTTTTAGACTTTAGAGGCAGGAAGTCCCTAATCTTTAGAACGGCACTGATCCAATTCTAAAATTTATTTAAATACTAGCGTTTTAACATATAGTTAGTATGGACTATGGAATAGATAGACTAGATGAAGACTAGATGAAAGGTACAGGCAAAGAACAGGGAATGTCACCATTTTTGTTTTTTTTTTTGTTTTTTACTGATAACGAATCTATGTCTATCATAATTGCATTTCCAACCACTGGTTTAACAAATACTTAACGGATGTCGCTAAAAATAAGTTTTTATCTATGCCCAAAGTGAAAAGAACTGGGAATGTCCGTTGTCCACGACACCGGTAAAGAAGGGGGATTGTCCAAAAATGTACATATATGTAGTTAAAAGTTACTGCATACTTTGATTTCAATAAAAATATTATAACTTTTAAACTTTAAATAATTTTTTTCTCATAATCTATTAAACAAATAAAAACAGGGAATGTCCTAATCATTCCCTGTTTTTGCCTGTACCCTTCATATATAAGTATATATACATATATACATAGGTATGATGAATTTTATATCCCTTATTTGAGAAATAAGGATTCCCCATACAAACTTTCATTCCCCTTTTCACCCTCTTAAGGGATGATTTCCGAGATAAAAAGTATCCTATGTCCTTTCCAGGATCTCAAACTATCTTTATACCATAATTCATCTAAGTCGGTTCAGCGGCTTTTTAGTTTATCCATTACAAACAAAAATGCATTTTTTTCTCTCTATATAATATTAAGTTTAAATACAAGGCAACCTGCACTTAGACAACATTGTGGACTATGGCCTGATTCTCATCCAACTGAATGGAGGCTGTGCCCAGAAGTGAGAAGTGAAAAGGGCTAAGTACTAGCTACATTACTATCATTATCAGTTTTATATCAACAATAACAAATAATTGTAATTTTGTCGGTTAACTTTTATATAAACTACACTTATGTTCACAAGTTCGTACTAATTTCCTTTGGAATGTTAACCAAACACGTAGGTATGGTTTAGAAAGTTTCAAGGCCGGAAATGAAATTATAAACTAGATACACAAGACAAATATGTATATTACTAAGAATTAAGCATAATTTGAAACAAATTATGCCCACATGAGTGATTTAGTACTTTAATACAATTCGCCAAAGGGAATCCGTAGGTAAATCATAAAGTGTACCAAACGGGAACGCTATCCTAATAATTTATTACAGGATAATAATTATAAAATAAACATTAAATATGATTTAGGTAATATCTAAACTAAGAATAGATGAATATACGTAATCTATTTAACCAACAATTTATGTGCTATTGTTATTTAAAGTCTTCGAACGAGGAAGACCTTGCACGCATTACTTTCTTTATCGCTTTTAAATTATAACTGACCAGTTGCAAATGTCAGTAAAAGCTCGAAATAAATATACATTGGCGTATTATACTGTTGATTCAAACACCAGAACAGATAGATACTCGTATCTCGTATATTTCGGTCCTAACACGCCTCCTGACGCCATCTTATTCCATGACGTCTCTGGACAAGTGTCCGGGTTTAATTTAGTCTAAAAATTACGCAATAATTTTTATTAATTTTATCCAACATAAATTTGATGTCGTTATAAAGATTAACGGTGTTTATTATTTTGTCGCTTCATGAAATAAAATTTTTACATCGCTGGTGTGGTTCTGGCAGTATGATAATTATAAATAAAGTTTTTCAATGAGAATTTTATAAGAGAAATGTTACATTAACAATGTGATAAAGAGATAATAGCCGTGCAAATGAAATAATAGAATTTGAAAAGCTAAATTTACAGAATAGCAAAGTAATTTGTTTTTATTTTACTGTATCGGGAGAAATAGCGAAAGTCGACGAAAAACGTATGAATCATATTCATAGCAAGCAAACTTTATATTTTTAAACTACATATTAATTATTATGTATATCAGTTTATCAAACTTCATAAAAACTTATAATATATAAGACTATGATAAATATAACGTGATCTTACAGAGAGCGCCTTCGCGCAGTATTTGCTGAAGTGGTGGTGGTGGACGTATTGGACTCCCGCGACGCTGCACACCTGGCTTTGCTGCAGCGGCCTGAGCTAGGCATCACCTTCACAAAGATACACTGTTGGAGCCTCACTCAGTATGAGAAATGCGTCTTCCTTGACGCTGATGCACTGGTAACTATTACTACTTATTACTAAGACACTAGTATCATGCAGAAATAACAGCTACACGTTTTAACCATTTTTCAATTTAATTCTCTTATAAATGACTTCAAAGCGTGCCAGTTGGGCATAGATTACTCCGCCAATGCCACGTAGAATGGAGAAGACACGAACATTGGTTACCATTATTAAAGTTATAAAATCAAATAATAATTAATTAAATCAAATATATATGTATACTAATATAAGTCAATGAAAATGTCATTGCACGACTTAAATTTTGTAGTAAATCATTTCTCAAGATATTTTATAATAATTTTCATACTTATATTTACCATTTCTTTAGGGTTTATTTATAGTAAACTTAATTTATTTACATATGCAATAAGAAAACATACTCATATTATGTTTTAATAGACTAGTACGTAATTATTAACATAATTATTGTAAGTCGCTGTAGGCACCAGCAATTTGTTTGTACATGTAAAATGTACGTCATAATCATAATAATTTTGTTAGATTTCCTATAATTTTATAAATAACATTGTTATATTTCTTGACCTTGTAGCAAAATCAGTGTCGCGAATATTAGCATAAGCAAAAATAACAACTTTGGCTGCGAATTAGAATTTAAATATATTTATTAATAAAGCACTTAATTATGTTGCTTAGGAATACCTACTCGACTCGACTTTCAAATGAAAACACGCATGAATGTAGTGAATATCTTTATAGCTAAACAATGTATTGCTATTGCAACACTCGAAGACTAGTAAATTAAAAGTCAATGACTGATAGAGTTACTCAGCCGTCAAATCTATTCCAAATGTAATATGTAATAGTTGAGATAAGAAAGTCAATGTTACCGGATGCGGTCGTTAACGCAGTAACCCGAGATGACGAGACACAACCGTGGCCCAAATATTTGTTCCCGATGATTTTGGAACACCTCCAAATTCATTATACACTTTCTTTTCAATAGCAAAGCAAAATTATAAAGAATAATGTCGGTAATGCAAATTTATTGCATGTAAGATTATAAATTATTGCACGTTTTGATATTAAAATTCAAACATTAATAATAAATATCCATACTTATTTAATAAATTAAAAAATGGGAGAGTAAGTCTGTCTGTTGCCTTTTCACGCTTAAACTTCTAAAGACTCGCCAGATATCGGTGGGCAAGGAGAGACCGTGGTCAAAATCTAGTAAATAATTAACACATAATTCTATGCAATAGTCACTGTTCAATAATAACTAAAAGATATGTAAAACACACTCTCGAAATAAATTATGATTCTTATCTAGAAGTATACAGAGTAGATAACAAAACTAGCTGGATAAAATAACACGAGTATTATGTCAATGAATTACGTAAAGTGCGAGACAAATAAAAACTTTAAGGGGATTGATTCGGATGAGGTATAAGCAATATTTTTTATCACAGGTTAATGTGTCAAATAAAGTAGGTACTGATAAAACTATGCGATGTATCATTGTTTGATCACGTGTATTTACTTGTATATCAGTTATTGCAAATGAAATAGTTATTTGGTTTTTATATTTCTATATCCATTTTTATCTTATGTATGTTATCTAAAAATATTTATATTTTGCCTAATTATAAGTACCTACGATTACGATTAATTGTTTTTTTTTTTAGTAAAACACCATCTTAAACATATTTGTAGATTTTAAAATACGGGTAAAGATGGTATTTCAAAAGTCAGTAATACCTACTAGTAACTAATCAACTATATGAATGTTTATTTTCATAGAGAAATTGAAGAGTAGCTACAAAGATGTTCCAGATAATTTAGTTAACATTCCAGAACATAATATTTATGTGCGAAGCAATGACGCAAAACTTCAATTTCTATTCCAAGGTTGTCCAAAATTGCGATGAATTGTTCGAGCGGGAAGAGCTATCAGCCGCGCCCGATGTCGGCTGGCCCGACTGCTTCAACTCTGGAGTGTTTGTATTCAGACCCTCTGCAGAGACTTTCAGCAACCTCGTCACATTCGCCGCCGAACGAGGCAGTTTTGATGGCAAGTTTTTATGATACCCATAAATATTTGCCTTTTGAGACGATTTTAATAGATTCGTTTGATCTTGTCTTACATGCTTTTTAAAGTTCCAATAATAATCCAATAGGTTTATAAATGCTTGGAGATGTTTATTTGTTTTTAAATACTGTTTTTAATGTCGCTTTTGTCGTATATCAACGATCTTTCCTACTGTGAATGTATTTTTACGATGTCTGTAGGGCCGGATCTATATATATGTATGTAGGTTTTTTTGGGCTAAACCACAGCTAAGACACAACGGGCCGCCTATTGAGAACAATGGATAATATTGTGAATTTATAAAATTAAAAAAAATATTTAAAACAGTTTAGCCTAATAGCCCTGAGATCAATTAATCAGAACTAAACAATAGCTAATAGTTATGTTAATTTCGTCTAGTATCATCTATCATTAAACATGTTATAAAAACAAAATGACAATTATTAGTTCAGGCCGCCAAGAAGTGTTAGCGCAGGGCCCCCAAATTCACAGTCCGACCCTGAATGTCTGTAGCAATCTGTTTATTGTATTTAGGTGGTGACCAAGGTCTTCTAAACTCGTACTTTTCGGACTGGGCGCACGGCGACATCAACAAACATTTGCCATTCCTCTACAATGTGACATCTGCTGCTTTCTATTCCTATATACCTGCCCTTAAACAGTAAGTAATCGAAATGCTAAGATCATATGACTGATTATTATGTGGGTTTTGAAGAATTTCATATAAATTATATTTATCGTGTTAACTGAAGGAATTATTAGTCTGCATGTATAGTTTTTTTTATAGTAATGTAAGGTCATTGATATATTTTCTGTTGCGATTTATTTGCCTATTTTTATGTATCTAATATATTTTAGTCTTATATTTTCTTATTCTATCGCATCAATTCTATTAGTTACTACTATTAAATAAAATTTGTTTGTAATATAATTTAATCAGCCTACAAAGAAACGTAAACGCGACGTTGTCTAAAATCAAGAACGGAAACGGCGACAAATATGAAATCACATTGTTAATGGAATCACATTACATTCGAGAAACTCTTTAAAAACGCATTTCACATAGAAAACAAATGTCTCTATAGGGGAAAAATTAAACACGTTAATGTATCAGATACCATTATTTACAAAAAACATTTAAATCACTTTTGGTAACTTTGTACCCAAAAATATTTCTCTCAAGCGGCAATCGATCCTGCTATCTTGATAAACCAACTGCAAGAGATGACTTAACCACTAATCTACAGACATTTAATCGATCGAGTCGATTTCAACGTCAGAATGTTGTGTTTACATTTTAACATGAGAAGCCATGACAAAGTAACAGTGATAATACTGTGTCACTTATATTCCAGTTACGGGCAGAATTTGAAGATCATCCATTTCATTGGGGCAGTGAAGCCTTGGCTCCAACAATATAATTGGGAGTCTCGATCAGTCGATGCACCGGAACATTTGCGGGAGTTCCTTCAACTATGGTGGGATCTATTTGCATCACAAGTCCATTCTCAGCTGGACACACATATGGTAAGTAGTATATATTTTCCCATATATTTCATATATTGCTATGTATATAAGCTATTTTGGAGAATTTTACTGGATTTTATGATCTTAAGGCAAAAGATTTACCCGATTATTTCGTTGTTATCACATTATTCTGATCTGATTGTCTGATCGATATTTGCTTATAATAAAAGTTTTAATGCTAAACAAAAACGTTAAACGATATTGATAGATGTTTATTGTTTTAAAATAAACACCGTAAAAATCGGGCGATGTAGTTAAATCGATTGATATACATAACTATAAAAATATTTTTAATGTGTTCCTTCAAGGCTAATTTGTAACATATATGCTATACATATGTGGATAAGTACGAATATAACTTAACAGAAGCAAGACCGCTTATAAGAGCATTAGCCATACCAATATAAACTAATCCCTATAATATGATATTAACATAATTGGCAATACAAAGGCGCCGTTATACGATATTAGTCCAGTTTACGGCATTACATTTGTGGAATGTCGCATTGGTAAGTTATTAGATCCAATATCAATTACCACAATGGGATCAAATGTAATACGGCTTCTAGGATTTCATGGCTCACGACCGCAAATACTCGGTAATACCCTTCATAAAGTCCAGTAAAACACTCCGTTTTCATTCTGTACCGCGATCTCATCAATACAACATGTGTTCTAAGCCTACGCCTCAGGTCTCCAGTATTGAGGAGGAGGTAAATCCTTATATTTACTTCATTATATCTCTTTCATTCAATTGTTTTAATTATGCCTTTTGTTTGTTTGTTTATATTATTTTAATGTTTGTCGAATTTTCAAAATTTCAATTGAGCTATTTGTTTTTTCATGTAAATATCTTAGTACGTATTTTCCCGAAACTAATAGCTTGCTTCTTTGAGCTTCTGCACATTTGTATATGCCGTTCGCAACCCTCCTTGAACTTAATGCTAGTGCATTATTAAACATTTCTCCAAAATACTAACATTTTCTAACCTTTCAAAATTATCTGTGGTGCTTCTAAAGGATCGATGTGCATTGGTTTATTGGAATAGATGGTGTTGGTATTTTGGTGAAACGATCGACACTAAATAAACATACGAGTATTAAAAAATTTGTGTAGCTGTATTGATCTGTGGTTTCATCTTTTTTTTTTATTTCAGTATTATTTTTATTTCAATTAGAATTTCATTTGTTGTATGTTTATTTAGTACTATTTGTACTATATCTAATAAAACACTGCTTGAATAAAGCGATGCACCGATTTTTAGATTAGTGTGTGATGCTTTTTTCAAGTGTTTATCGCATGCGTTACTATTGAGTCGTTTTATGACAACCGATAGGATGAAGGGATCGTAGAAGAACATCAGCCGACGGTGCTTCATCAAGAAATAATTGAATATAACGATGAACCGGCATCAAACGTTACTTATTATGAACCCATATTGGATGCAGAATCCGAATTTCCATGGCATCATCCCGAAAACCAAGTTTCTGATTCAGACATAAATGTGTCACAAATTGATACGAGTCAGTTTTACGATCCATGGAATATTTATAGAGGAAACATCCCACCTAGCATAGAAGATTTTAGACAAGCAGAAAATAAAGATGATTACGAGGATATGAGAAAATACGCTTGGGACTACGTGTCCCCACAACACAGTCAGAATCAATCTAACGTAAATCAAAATTACGAATCGCCACACGAATATCATCAAGTCCAACCTGATAGTAATTCCACATATCACTCACATTCACATCGCTCACACTCACATCACTCGCAGTCACATCACTCACATTCACATCAGTCATATCAAGAATATCACGAACATCAAGAATCGGCTTGGCAGTACAATTCTGAATCTAGTCAAAACAATCACCAATACTCAGAATACGCTCCAAGTGTACCTCAATCTAATTACGAACGCGAGTTTGTACATGAACAGAACACAATACAAACACCAAATTCTCATCATGAAAATGAACAGCAACATTCACATAGTAACCATGAGCCACATTATCCTCACGAATATCACTACGCTCACATTTATGAAGAAAAACCTGCGAACCAACAAAGTCAAGATCAATACAAATCACAAACTAGCAATCACATCCCGTATTCACATGATACTAATCACAATACGAATGCGTCATACAATACTAATCTCAATCAAAAACATTCAAAAGAATACAATAAAATAGACAGCTTCACTTATTCCCAATTAAAAAACACGAACAGATCCGAACAAATTTATACTGTGATGATGGATCACGTTAGAATACGAAATTCAATGTTAGATCAGGATATGAATGGTTACGCGTCCGATAGCGACAGTGATATTTTTGAGGAAATAAGACCCAGGCATCCATACGATGGCTTTTATTTAAGGCACAGAATGACTATAGATTCTCACGGGCGCAAAATCTGCAGTCATGAAATACCATTCATACCACGCACTCCTTCTCCCGCCAGCACAGAGGACTATGAAGACGCGTTGGAATCTCTACCAGAGGAAGTTAGCGATAACATATTAAACGGTGATGATTTACAAGTAAGTTTATTTAAAACAATAACAATACTTAGGTATGTATGTATAAAGACATTGTCAAAGCATTGAGAACATTAGTATTGAAATGTTACTAATAAAGCTTGTGTGTGAGTAGATTTGCATGTATAATAATTATTGAACTAAATTGCATGTTACTTATTAACAATAATAGTATAAAAAAATAATTCATTATCTAATTCATGAATTCTAAATATGAATATTAAAATAATTGAGATGGATACAACTATAACTATATTTATATGATATTACAGACCGGCGTTGCGGGTAATTTAGCAAGAGTCGTACCAGGCATACCGTTGCAAAGAGAAGCAGTAGATGAGTTAACAAGGAGACAAGGATGGGAGGCTGGAAATATCGACTATATGGGAGCTGACTCCTTTGACAATATTTGGGCGAAAATATCCCAAACTCTCAGCCAGCCACCAGAGACACCTTCCGAACAAGCCCCACCAGCTGAGCAACAAGCACCTCAGGAAGAAGCAAAGCCTGAGTCCAGTGAACCTGCTTCAGTTGAATTAGTCAAAGAGGCAGAACCTATTGTGGAAAAAGAACCAGTACCCGAAGTTCCTGCTGAAAAGCCAGTAGAAGCCCTTGTAGAAGAAGTAAAAGAGGTTCCCGCTGAAGTTCCTCAGCCAGAATCGGAAGTGGTGGAGTCAGCAGTTGCCCCAGTTGAGGCAACACCATCACCAGTAGAAGAAATCGAAGTGCCTGTCCCGGCTAGTGAGGCAGCTGAAGCAAAACCAGAGGAATCTATTCCGATCCCAGCGGAAGCCGCTGTGGAAGCTGCTGCTGAAGCAGTACAAGAAAAGACTGAGCTGACAGAAGAGATACCGGTAGCAGCAGTGGAAGCACTCAAAATTGTGGAACCAGCGAAGCCTGAAGAAAGCGCCCCAGCACCTACAGAAGTTGCTGAACCCGTTCCTCAAGTAATTGAATCTAAACCAGAAGAATCTGCCAAGTCTGAAGCCTCTGATAGTCCACCTCTAGCCAATACCCCATCCAAGGAAGAAATTTCTGCGGCACCGGCTGCTAAACGTGAGTAGAAAATTCAATAGGTGCCGATATCGGCCAACAGATCGGCTTTGCATTCAGATATCACCGAGTTCATTTTGCAGTTTTCATATTTCTTTGTACTAATATTTTAAACATTTGTACCTACCGTCTTTATGGGAACGCGGCAGACATTGTAAATAATTGTCTCGGCAGATCCCGTTAAAGACATATGTGTTTTTTCTTTTGTGCTGTTTTGTGTTTTTTGGTTTTATTTTTTACTGTTTATACCTTTCAAAATTCGTTATTATTTCACCCAGCTACCGAGGAGGCAGCGCAAGAGACGCGGCTTTGATAGAACAGGTAATAACTATATTCCACTTGGACCCAAAACGACTTTCTTATCGCTAGAACCTATTTCTCGTTTTATTTTCACAATTTTCACGCTGAAATATCTCTTGAATGAATTCTTTATTTCAAAATAAATATTTAATTGGTAGATGTTGGATTGCGTCCAAGTGTTTTACACGTAGGGACGTTTGTTTAACGTCAGTCTCAGGACGCTATTTCTGGATAAAACGAAATCGATCTGGAATGACCAAGCTCTTTGGACACGTTGATGCATCTTGCCACAGCCCACATCCGCGCATACGAATATATCACTCCAATAGCACATTACTTACGTGAATACGACATCGCTCAGGTAGCCGTCATGAATGCAGCACCACTGATTTTTCATGAGAATGCAACTTCTCTATTTGATTTATATGCTTCTCATTATCGTTCATCCATTGCAAGGAACATTATTAGTACCTTATATCTTCACACAACATAGTATTCATGTTCAGTAAACATAAGCTATTCACATTTTAATTAAAAACTTAATAAGTTTAGAGTAATCTTAACCGATTATGCTATATAATATTACCATATTTAAATAAAAATGTCAGAAGCTATATAAATAATAGTCCTTGTAATGTACTGCTAGACTTGCTAAACTGACACCGTCCTAACTTTCTGCTTGCATCGTTTTGACTTAACCGTGTAGCTCTGTTTTCGCTAACTTTGTTCCAGGCCCTAACCGAGCTTGCTCTCTAATGTGACCTACTAACGCCACACCTAACAAAAGAGAGAGTATAACGACGGGTAATTGGTTGTGTAGCTGAGGAGAGACGTAAGCCGGCGGGCAAGCTGCTGCTGCGGCCGGCGGCGGCCGACACGCTGCCCACGCCCGACAGCGAGCTCGAGGACGCGGCCGCCCTCGCGCACGCCATCATCTCGAGTGAGCTGCGCACCCCTACTGTCACATCCCCCACCCCCCCGACTCTCTCCCCCTCACAACCCGCACCCCCCTCCGACTCCCGCCTCTCCGTCCAGACGCCAGAGGTGCCCACTCCACCCGTCTCACTCTCACAGATAGGAGTAAAACCCAAAGCGTCCACTGCCGCCCAAATAGAATCCTCCGTCTCGAAAGCTGAACCTAAAGTTGAAACCGACGTGCCCAAAAAGAAGATCGTAAGGAAAGTAGTTAAGAGCAAAGAGAGCGCGTCGGGCGACGCGTCCACGCCCGTGCCGCCGCCGCGTAAGAAGGAAAAGAAACCCAAGGAGAAGTGAGCCCGCGCCCGTCCCGATAGTTCCTCTGTGCCATAATTGTAGCCTCACCTTTATATTATTTAATTTTCGAATCTGCTTTACGTGTAACCCTTTTTTTATATTTTACATTTATTAATTGTTAATACTCGCTATCACAAGTCCATTTTTAAAGATTGATAATGTAATTTTTATAACTTATATCGATGTTATTATAAACAGAAATGTATTTGGTTTTTAATATTTATAACTACCAAAGCATGACACATATTTATTGAAATAAAAGTGTTATAATTATATTTGTATTAAAGTATATTTTCAATTATGTGCTTTTTATTTACCCAATGGAACATAATTTTATTAATTGTAAATTACAATATTATATATTTCCAAAGTTGCAAACTTCATAAATATATAAAAGATATCATATAAGCAAAAAGTTAATGGATTTTTAATTTATATTTACATAAAAATGTAACTTAAGTAAATATCTAAGAGGTTTTGAATTAACTTAAAAAACAATTAAAAATAATCATTTTAAATTGCAAATTGTAATGTTTTGTAAAAAAAAATCTAATTCAGTACAAATAAAAATAATGCTATAGAAAAAGTAATATTTTACCTATAGTTGAGTATGTCCTGTCATATTGTATATTCATAAAGAGAAGGATTACTTAAGTTCTACACCATAAAGAGCCTTTTGCAGAGTTAAATATATAAGGAACGCAGAAACAGTCATTGCAGCCAATCACAACCATGCTTTGTCGTGTGACCAAGAAATATATAATGACTGCATCATGTATATATATGCATAAATAGAATTGTAAAGTCTGTTTGTAATTTTATAACTACTAAGTAGTTACCCCACGTTAAGCTCACTTGAACTACAATACAAACAAATCTTGAAAAAATGAATGTCTGTCTGAATTCGCGAATATCAAGAATGTCTACTTAAATGCGTGTCAATGCATGAATAGATTAATCGATATTATACTAGTGCATATAATTAAAGATAGAAAGTGTCAGTACATCTCTAATTCGGGATATTTTTAGTTTCTTAAATTGACGATAGAGAGAGTTGTTCTTCCTATAAAACTTTATCATTAGTATTTAACAAAAAACGTCTTTAAATAATGGCTAATTTTTGTGAACGTTTTATCTGAATACATTTTAGATTTTTCTTTGTTACTGTCCGATCTCCCGCAATGCTATTGAAGTGACAGGATACCAAGTTTCGAATGGATTACATTCGTGGAAGTTGCTCAAATCCTTTTACCGTCTAGACAAGAGCCGATACCCGCAAACGGCTGAACGGATTTTCTTGATTTATAGCTAACACTAAAAAACTATTTTTTTTTTTAAATTGATTCATTCATTTGGGTGCTAAGATGCCGCAGACAGACGCATAGATACACACGTTAAACTTATAACATCTTCTTGCGATGGAGGTTGAAAAAGGAATTCAGTCTTAAGAGCCTACCCGGCGGGGAATCGAACTCCGGTCTCCCATGTGACAGGCGGGGACCACTACACTGCCGAGGATTGTGAAACGAACAAATCATTTTATAACTTCTAAAAGCAGTTTTATGGGTAATATTATTAGTATAGTATTATATGATCTGTGGTAATAGTAAAACAAATTAAAGAGTGCGTTTAACAATGTGTACACGCGAGAAGTGAAACTTCTGTAGGTTATCGGTACTTTTTATGAAATTAAATTTGTTTCAAATTATTAGGATAGGATCCTACAATATTTTTTATCGATTTAAAAAGGAAAACAATAGTTTATTATTTACATACCGCTACTGGTGTTAAGATAAAATTTTATTTTTGACTAGCATTGTCCGCGGCTCCGCCCGCGTTCAGATGTCCAAGACCCTATTTTTAGATTTACATATTAGTATACTCTTACATTGCAGTTTTTGTATTTTTTCTCAGAAATGACACATTTTTCCGCGGTAAGAAGTATTAGGATACTATTAAGTTGGCCCAGATAACCAGCTATCACCATACCAAATTTCATCAAAATCCCTCCAGTAGTTTTTTTCTGTGATGCGGTAACAGACAGACAGACAGACCGACAGATAGACAAAAATTTTAAAAACTATACATTCGGCTTCTGTATCGTTAATATTGTTTATTTCAATAAGATTTTCCAAAAAATATTTAAAGTACAGATTCGGCTTAGTTACAATTTTATTATATGTATAGATTTTTAAATGACTAGCGGCTCACCCTCGCTTCGCTCGGGTTCACCTCTAGAAAAGCACAAACAGATCTATCCCACGGGAACCGTTCATTTTTCCGGGATAAAAATATGTAACCTGTTGTTTGACCTGCAATATAAGGTATCAGCATGCCAAATTTTACTAAATTAGGTGCATAAGTTGTTGTGTACTGAGCTGTATAAGTTACTATAATTTTTGAACTATCCCACGGGAACTCTTTAATTTTACAGAATGATAAGTATCAAATTTCATTTAAATAGGTTCAATAGTATCGGAGATTAGCCCGTACGAACAGACAAACAGACAGAAAAACAAAAAAATTGAAAAAAATCTGGATTTGTTTTATTTCTCTTCTTACGGGATGTAAGAAGAGAACTGACTCGTTTTTTAGCAATTTTTTCTACCATCTATGTACAGACATTCGAACTCTACAGTTTTATTATTCATATATGTACCTATATTCAGATAGAATAAATAACGTATAATAAAACAGAAATATATAATAATGAAAATAGTTATAGCGAGTGTACCTTAGGAGATAGACATATACTATCGTATGTAGAACTTTTCTATAGACCTTTTTAAGACTTACAATTTTCTTGTACAATGTTTTGATCTATCTCTTAAGGTTGAGCCAACGTTAGCCATATAAATTTCTAAGGACAATTCGATAGAACCAGTTATTGTATTTTCCCGTGGGAATGAATAATTTGCCTGTCGTAAAAAGTATTCTAAATGTTGACCCGAGCACTAAGTTTTATCACTATACAAAATGAAGTTAAAATCGGTTGAGTACTTTTTGCATGAAACGCGCACATCGATTTGACTAAGTTTTATTATAGGTATTGATAAGAATAAATATTGCGAGTGTAACTTAGGAGATAGACATATACTATTCAGAACTTTTCTGTAGGCTACTTTTCAAGACCTACAATTTTTTAGTATATTGTTTTGATGTATGTCTTAAGGCTTAGCCAGAGGCAGGTTTCTAGGGAGGACTCGATAAAACCAGTTATTATATTTTCCCGTGGGAAAGAAAGATTTTCTTTAAGTAAAAGGTATCTAGGCAGTGGTATCCCAGTGGTAACGCGCTCGCTTGGGAAACCGAATGAAGCAAGTTCAAATCCCGGGTCTAGCACCTCTGATATTGGCCAGCGTGGTGGACTATGGCCTGATCCACCTCGTACTGAAGGGAGGCCCGTGCGTGTGTTAAAAAGGGCTGAATACAACATACATACATACATACAAAAGGTATCCTAAATGTTGACTCGAGTAATAAGTTATCACTTCACCAAATTTCGTTGAAATTAGTACATTACTTTTCGCGTGAAACGCGCACACAAAAACAGACAAACAGGCAAACAGACAAACAGACATTTTTTTAACAACTATTGTTTTGGGGTCTATGTTGTCTACATAATACGTTACAAATAAACAAAAACATCTATCCCACGGGAAAACTACGTTTTTCCGGGATAAAAAGTTACCTATTTGTTATTCTGATGTATGAACTATATTATTGTAAAGTTTCATCAAAATCCAATCAGTGGTTTTTGTGTACTAAGCTGTATAAGTTACTATAGTTTTTTGACCATCCCACGGAAACTCTTTAATTTTCCGGGATGAAAAGTAGCTGATTTATTTTTATTATGTATGAACTATATTATTGTAAAGTTTCATTAAAATCCACTCAGTAGTTTTTGTGTACTAAGATGAATAAGTTGTTATAGTTTTTTAACTATCCCACGGGAACCCTTTAATTTTCCAGGATGAAAAGTATCTAAGATGTTGCCCGGGGATATAAGGTACCACCATGCAAAATTTCATTTAAATAGGTCCAATAGATCCGGAGATTAGCCCGTACAAAGAGAAAAACAGATAAACAGCTCGCTCGGGTTCGTCCATACATACGAATATGTTGTATTATCTCTTTAACCATTTGTCCAAATTATATGCAGTAAAAGGAAAAAGTCTTTTGTTTTAAACATTTTAGACGATAAATTTACTTATTTTGATAAGAATTCATAATTGTTGATAATATGACCAATAAACATGACCTACCGATTTAAATGATTTTTTTAATATAAAAAACTACTTTTTGTGACTTAAATATAAAAGTTAGACATATGCTGTCGCTGACTTTTTTGTAGGCATTATTAAGCTCTACAACTTTTCTCTAGAACATAATCATATATCTCTCATCGTTAAGGCAGCGTTCGTAAGAAACGTTTTCGTTCGACCGTTTTTTCTCCGACTTACTTTGCAAATTCGACTACCACGAAAAAGCCTTTTCATTTTTCGGATTTATATATAGCCTATGACACTCAGAAAGAACGTGGCTTTCTTTTGGTAAAAGAATTTTGAAAATCGGTTCAGTAGATCCAGAGATTACCCCCTACAACGTCACAAACTCACAAACTCACAAGATCACAAACTTTACCTCTTTATAATATTAGTATAGATTAAATGCTTTAATCTATATATATAAAAGAAAGTCGTGTTAGTTACTTCGCTTATAACTCAAGAACGGCTGAACCGATTTAGCTGAAAATTGGCAGGGAGGTAGTTTAGAGCCAGGAGAAGGACATAGGATACTTTTTATCCCGTTCGACCGCGTTCCAATTTTTATGATATTTTAATTTTTGGATTTCTCTTAGTCCGGAATAGGTAAGTATTAAAACATATAATTAAAATGTGAGAAAGAAAGATTTTTTCTTTTTATATCTATTTAATTTAAAACGTACCTAGCGACGAACCCGAGCGAAGCGAGGGTGAGCCGCTAGTTATTCAATAAATTATATACTCCAATATAATAAACAACAATGTGGGGATGCTATATTTTTTTTGTAAAAATATTTATAATGTAAAAAAAATATTTTAAGTAAATATATTCATTATAGTAGGGGAGCCCAAGAGGGGATTTTCTGTAGTTACTCGAGCGCGGCAGATTAACATAAAAGAGGTTACCTTGCACTCTATTGAGTACTTCACCACAATATAAGTCTTCTATATAAATGGGCGCGTCTAGGGAAGCCGATTAAAATATTTATAAAATGTTTTGATAAGGTAAAAATACTTGAAACCGTCAGATTAAGGTGTGGTAGGCTAGTCACATCCTGAAAAGTGTCCAATTTAATAATCTGCCGATTTGCACAAGCCTAAGAGGCAAAAATCATCATAAACTTTATAGTCGATTTTTGCCTCTTCGGCTTGTGCAAATCGGCAGATTATGGAATTGGACACTTTTTAGGATGTGACTAGCCTACCACACCTTAATCTGACGGTTTCAAGTATTTCTACATTATCAAAACATTTTTTAAATATTTTAATCGGCTTCCCTAGACGCGCCCCTTTATATAGAAGACTTATATTATGGTGAAAGTACTCAATAGAGTGCAAGGTAACCTCTTTTATGTTAATCTCCCGCGCTCGAGTAACTACAGAAAATCCCCTCTTGGGCTCCCCTACTATTAACAATATCAATTTCATTATGATTCCATCGCCCATTTAAAAATATATGAATGAAGTATTTTTTTTATAAATATTACTTTTATTTATTTTATTCTTTGAATTATTCATATAATACCTACTTTAAATAATTTTCAATTGTCTATTTATTCACTTCCGTGACGTAACGTCCCAGCGTAACTGTTTCCATTACCAAAATCGTTACGTCAATCCTTTTTTTCCCTCTCATGGCGCGCCTAAAGACATTTCACATGAAAACTCAAATAAACTTGAATAATTTAAATAAACGCTAATATTTTAGATTATTTTTCTTTTAGGGTAAAAATAAAATTATATAATAATTCAGATGTTATTAAATAATTAAAAGTTATTCAATCGGCTGACAGAAAAAAAAACCTATATAAAATATGTACACCGCCATCTGTTTTATATATAACATATATAGTATCATATTTTTTAAATAGATGGCGTTGTAACATAATAAATAATAATATAACATGACTAAAACTACTAGTAAATGAAAATATTATATTATGTAACGTAGATAATATGAGATAATGTAAGTACTCGGATCTCATGACCTTATGGTTATAATATTTGCTTATAGGTTGTAAGTTGAACGTAAGAAAAATTCTGTATATTTTTACCTTGTTTAAAATATATTCAGTAACATTTTTGTAATTTTTATACTGTTTAAGGCTTTTGAATTTTTTTATTCCCTATTTAATAATTTTCTTCTACTTGTTTTTGCTAGCATATGTATATAATATTTTGATTAAAAAATACTTTAGTACAAATTTTTATTTCAATTGCTAAAGACATGTGCTGCCATCTAGTATTACGTTATAGAAATACCACAAAGAACGATTAACGCGTTCTCTGTGAACTCGAATGGCAGCTAGGTACGCTCCTAAAATACAGACAGCTGGCAAGTGGCAAACCGGCGATCGGTTCCGCAACCAGTTTTATAGAAATAATGTGACACGGAGGTTGTGTCACTGTGTGTTATTCCATAACAATCTCATTATTGTTGTTTATATACGGAATTTGTGAGGTTAATTTCGTTACAAGAGTTCTACATGAATAAAAATCAAATTTATTGTCCAATTCGACGCGTTGCTCGTGTGTTTCTTGGAAGTTTTCTCGTGAATTCGTACATTTTATCCGAGTGTGTAATCTTGTATCGGCGACTTAACGTTGGACGGTGGTTGAAAATGTGAGTTAAATGATATTAAGCTGGTGAAGATATTGGTTTGAGGACAAAATTGTTAAGAAAATACTTTGTCTAACGATGAAATTGTTTACGTTTCTTCTGTTGTTACCGGCATGTTTAGCACACCTCAATGTTTACTTGAGTAGTGCTGAAGTATGGAGACTACTGGGTAAGTACTAAGTAATTTATTTTATGATCAAAATATGTATATATGTGTAAGTATAACATAATCAATTTTCAAAAAAAAAAGCAAAATCGAACTAAAAAAAAATAAAAAAAATATGCTCACAATTCATAACACATAATTTAAAAAAATGGTAAAATCATTTCTTTAAAATAGGTGATATTTATAACATCAATGCTATAAACCTCTTTTTAAAAGGTTTCTTTTAGTAAATAATTAAGTTTAAAGAGCTTAAATAACTGCTGTAATTACAATTAAGGAATACTTGCTCATAATTAAGATGCCTGCAATACCTACCTGTCCAAAAAGATCGTACGAACATGTGACCTATCAGAGATTACAGAGAAATTGTAAGAACAAATTCATATACAGTACTAGATAAAATATACACATTTAAAAAATATATAATAAACTGTAGGTGAATTAAACTTCTGTGCATTCGATAACACTTGATAATGTGATAACATTGTAGTAGATAACGTTTGCAAAATGCCGTTAAGTATGCATTTTATTTTAGTTGGTTTGTTTGTCTGTTTAAATAAAAATAATATAGTGACTGACCTTATATTTTGCTTCCTTAACATTATCCTAATATATACTAATATTATAAAGAGGTAAAGTTTGTGAGTTTGTGACGTTGTAGGGGGTATTCTCTGGATCATCTACTGAACCGCTTTAGATGAAATTTGGTAAGAAGATAGTTTGAGACCCTGGGAAGGACATGGGATACTTTTTAAGCCGGAAATCATCATCCCTTAATGGGGTGAAAATGGGGATGAAAGTTTGTATGGGGAATCAATATAGGGACGAACCCGAACGAAGCGAGGGTCAGTCGCTAGTTATTTTATAAATGCGAAAGGTAAGGATGGATGGTCGTTACTCTTTCACATCAGAATGGCTAAACGGATCTGGATGAAATATGCCACAAAGATAGATTATAGTCTGGAATAACACACAGGTTACTTTTTATCTCGGAAAAAAGGTACCTACTCCCCGTGGGATAGGTTTGTTTTTGTCTAAGCACAAACCCGAAGCGAAGCGAGGATGAGTCGCTAGTTATAGAAAAGTATTTTTTTCTTTAAGCGTTGGATTGAATTCGACGTTTGAATAAATTATTATTTTTTAGCTGTCGATAACACAAACTATGAATTCAATGTTATGCCGGGCCAGTCGCTTAATTTTTTCACTTTTAAATCCTCTCTCACAATAAATAGCCTGAACGTAAACACAGCGCCTTCATACCTGTAAAATCAAAAGTACTTAATCCTATTTCACGGCAATTCTCAAATAAGTAGGCACAAAACCGTCCCAATACGTTATCTCCGATCTGACTTAGGTTTATTGTGTGAGGTGACAAACCGGCCTTCCCGAAATGTTTCCCGTGGTGCGTACACGCGGACAAAAACTATTATTCAGTTTTAATTTGTATATTCAACTTAAGAATTTATAAGAATAGCGAACGATAAATATCCTAAGGGGTTTCAAGATTTAAAATTTGAGATAAATCTCTAAATGTTAAGTCTGTCCAAATATAATATTACAGAGTTATTGAGATTATTTTAATCATATATGTAACAATGATTAAGTAAAAAAATAATACTGATCAATTTCTAAAACAATGGACTAAATATATTACTTACTAACATTAAAAAAAATCATTTTTATATACAAAATAGTAAAAAACTTTCAAGTTCCTAAAATCAATTGAACTCTATTGCATCAATATTTTATTATGCTGTTTTCGGTTTGTCGCCTATTCAATTAAGGTACGGTCAATTTAGAAATTAGAGATTTTTTTTCTAAGTTTTTACTGTTTCGTTACAATTTAAGTATTGTCTGTGACCGATTTAAAAGGGTCTTGCGTCTACGCAGGTAATACGTCGCTCCACAGTACCCCGTTTTTGTCCCAATTCATTGTACTAACCTGCGGACTCAGCCTGCAATCTATCTCTGTCAACGACAAAACCAACTGTTCTTTGTTCTTGCTTAAAAATTAGAATTATAATATTAAACAATGTTACAGCAAACGGGACTCTTGACGTTGACGTATACTAGAAGTGAGTAAAATTAAAGAGCCCATATTTTATTGTAAAATATATTTTAAAAAGATTCAGTTCTACCAAATTTCGTGAAGCAATAAAATAAAAGTTGATTTGAATATGACTAAAACACAGACTCAGCGGGGCACAATTTATTATATTCAAAATTAACATATCTTATATGTTTATATTATACAATGTAGTATTCGTCGGGGCGCAACTTGAGATCTCAGGCTCCGATCGACGCAACGAACAGCAATTTATTTCACATGACATTTATCGACACTCTATGGACGAAACCAATAAAGTCAACGCCTAAAATGTTTCTCCCGACACTTTTAAACATAAACATAATCATTTTTCAATAAAACCAATTTAAAATTAACGTTTAATGTCGCCCTAATATTCAACAATTAATATATTAAACGAAATATGTATGTACATATATAGGTTTACCTCTTGTAGCCGTTAATGGCGCTTCAAATAAATATTTATGTTACACATTTGCATATTACGAATTACGATTAAATTGATATTTTAGATTTTATAGTTTTAAATTATAATAATATAAACAGAATATTTTTAGATATAACTTAATTTAGGCCATTGCCAAGAACCCCCCCAACGTGCGTTCACCTTGTCATGTGATATCATATAGATTTCTTATAATGATTTTTTGTAAAGTAATTAATTTTAATGTTATATATCACTAGTGACTCACCCTCGCTCCGCTCGGGTTCTTCCTTAGTTACGTTTAAACGTTTATTATAGATTTCTGAGAGATGAGATATTTTCCATCCATAACTGATTACCAGCTATAATCGTACCAAATTTCATCAAAATCTGTCCAGCCAGTGGTTTTTTCGTGATGCTTTCTCAGACAGATTTTTTTTAAAACTATAAATAAGGCCTCTGTATCGATAATAATAATGACTAATACGATAGATAAGATTTTAGAAAAAATATTTAATGTACACATTCGATTCAGTTAGAATTTTATTATATGTAGGGGAGAGGGGGGCAGTTTAGTACAGAGGCAGTTTTGAATTGTTTGTTTTATGAACGGATCCTTTATCATTCCTAACCTCTGAAACCATTTTAATACTGGTAAAACCGACCTACACATCTGTCAGTTTCCAGCTAACGTCAATGTCAGTGTAGTTTTGAATATCATTCGCCGGTTTGTTTACGAAGATCAGAGTAAATAAATATTTTTTTATTTGTAAGCAAATTACTGAAAAGGTAAGTATTATTTTCAAGTTATTATTATTTTATTGCGTTATATTTATTATATCCCGAGTATTACAAATGAAAATTAATTTGAACTCAAGTAAGTTTTTTGTTCAAAGATGTTTATTTATGCAAAATGGTGTTGAGGTAGATTTGAACAAAATTGCTGGGGCACTTTTGAATAAAATGTTCAAAGGTACCTAACCAAGTAAATATCATGAGATTTCTAAATATTTTAATTGATTTCTTGTTTCAGTCATCATGGTTAGAAATTACAAAAAGAGAAAGAAAATTCTGTGAAATGAAGACGATGCTTAAAGAGCTGTATTATGTGTTGTCAACAATGGCATGAAGCTGAAAACTGCTGCTGCTATATATAACATAAAACCAACTACTTTATACAACAGAGTTAAAATTTAAAAGAGAATATTACTCTAAAAAGTAAAGAATAGTAGCAAACACACAGTTTATCAAGTTTTTACAAATGATGAGGAATATATGCTGGAAAAGTATTTCTTAAGAATGTCTAAAATGAACTACGGCTTGACCTACGTGCAAGCGAGAGAGAGAATTGGCATACCAATATGCTAATGTCTTAGAAAAGTGCTCTGAGACGTGAATAAACAATAAGATTATTGTGTTGAACGGATGCGAGTATTGAATGGATGAAAGGATTTATGAAGAGGTATTAATTTTATCATTATGAAAACCCGGAAAGACAAGCTTTTCTAGACAACAGACATAACGTTATGATGTTTTATAATAACTATGAAAAAGTACGAGAAAATTTTACTCCAGCTCGCATATATAACTTGGACGTATATGTACGTTCCTAAGTCTCTTATGTTATATTTTTAAGATAGGATTCATAAAGGTACCTTTATGAGATTGTTTTGCAATATTGATATTGATCTCTTTTATAACTTGTAAGTTAGTTTAATCTTGTTCAAGATTGCCCCAGACTGTTTAGTTCTTTATACAATTTATTTAAGTAATAACTAGTGTAGGTATAAATGGCTATGTTCAATGAATAAAATGTAAGATGCAAATAACTTAAATATAGTCTTAATTATATTCTTAGATACGTGGTTTTTATTTTATCCTGGTTTTACAATACTGCCCCTAGCGGTTTCAAATGTGCCTCGCGGATGGGGCAGATTTGAAGAAAATATGGTTTTTTAAAAATGGAAATTGCGTTAATTTGATGGGTCAAAATAAATAAATATAATTTTTATTATTTAGTATAAGCCCCATATCTATTTATAAAATATAATACATTTTGATTTATAATACCATATGGGAAATATAATTTAATAACTAAAAAGTGTTCAAAGGTGCCCCCCTCTCCCCTATGGATATCTGTATTATATAGTAAATATAATATAATACAATATATAATATAATACATATTACATTATAATGTAATTTGTATAAAAAAAGTTTTTGTCTTAACCTACACTACAGAAATAAGCTATTTGTTAAAGAGTTGCAAAAGAGTGCAACTCTTTGTATTATTTTGCGAGACAATAAACCATTCACTGATAAGGTGGTAAAATAGTTGCTAAGTAACGTAGGCGTATCGGACGACAGGATAGTTTATGGTTACTCCATTATCGCTCATCTGAATTCTTCATTGCTTTAAAGTGCAGGCACGCATCCAACAGAATTCAAAATTAAGCGATAAATATAAAAAAAATCACAGTGGGATTCAAACCG